ACTTTATTAAATTTCGTTTTTTCTATATTATTTAAAAGCGTATAATTAACTCTATAATTCTATAAATTTACTTTATTATTATTTATTATATAATATTAAAGAAATTAAATAGAATAAATTAATAAAGTTAATATTCGAGGTTTAGTCTTATAGTACTTCCTCTTTTAAATATACTCGTATATACTTATATTTAGATCGAAAATAAAGAAATAAGATATATTTTAAATTAGAAATAATGAAATTTAATAATCTAATTAGTTACTAGCCTCTTAACGTAGTATTTATTCTTATTTTTAAATCTTAAGTATTAAGAAAGTAAGCTTTTTAATTAAATTAATATACGCTTTAGTATCGAGTAAAGTAACGAGTTATCTCTATTCGCTTTAAAGCTTTATTTATCTCTTTATAAAAATAGAAGAAATTATCTCTATTAATTATTATTCTTATCTCGCTTCTAAGATAATTATAAGATCTAATCTTTTTTTATTAATATTACATCGATATTAATAATAAATAATTTATCGAGATTTAGATATTTAGATATTTAATAACTCTACTTATTATAATAGAAATAACTATTCTTCTTATAATTAGAATTAAAAAATTCGACTTTATACTTTATACTATCGTCTTCAATACGTATTATATAAGCGCCGCCGTTTAAAATCAATTTAGACTTCGAAATTTAATTCTTTAAAGACTTATTCTTAGTAAACTCTCTCGAAGACTTTAAATAAAAATCGCTATCGAAGCGTATATATTTTAAAATCTTTTTCTATATAATAGTCTAAGTAAGAATTTCTTTTTATTATTTCGATATACTATTAATATTTAAAATCTTATTTTTAAGTTTTAATTTAAGCTTAACTAAGAAGAAATTAATTTAATACTTTTTAGAAAATAAAGATAAATAAATCTTTAACTCCTTTAAATAGATTTTAAAAATAAATATCTTCTAATTAAAGCGTTATTTAGCCTTCTTTTACTTTTCGTAAGCGAGAAAATAGCGATTTATTAAATTCATTACTAAATTAAATAGAAACTACTTAAAGAATTTAAAAGTTATACTTCTTAGATTATAAATTTAATAATATTTATACTATTAAGTATTAATATTATCTTTTAAAAACTATATATAATAAATAATTCTTACTTAATTAATAATAAAATATTTAGAATTTATAAAAAACTTAATTTCGACTTCGCGGAACTAGCGTAAATACTCTCTCTTATTAATACTCTTATAAGAATATATTCTTTTAAAGCGAAGTATTTTCGTTTTAATTAATATATTTATTAAAGACGCGATAGTAATCGATATAAATAAATTTTCGCTAACTATAAATAATAAGCTAGCGTTATAAAGTTCGCGATTACGAGCCTTTAATATAATTAATTCTTATTCTTATTTTAGATAATAATTTTCGATTTTAGTAATTATAAAACGTTATTTTATAATAAGATCTTCTATTAATAAGAAATTCTTAAACTTATTATCGACGCTATAGCGACTTTTAATATTATCTTTATTTTCTATTATATAATCTAAAAATAAATCTAATATTATAATAATAATAGATCTTTTCTTTAAAAGATAAAGAGATTAGAATTATAAAGGCGTAGTTTATTAACGATTAGCTAGTAGATATAGACTATAAAAGATATAATATCGTTATAAAATTTAATAATATATTTAATAGTAGAACTAATCTCTAAAAAATATTAAAACTTTAGAGTATATAAAGTAGATCTATATTTACTAAGCCTCTAAGTATACGAGATATATTATTAAAACTAGACTCTAAAAGGAACCTTAATGTAATATATACGATATCGGCGTCTTAGTATAAGTAGCGTTAAGATCTATAACAGCATTAGGCCTAATATTTCTAGAGAAATTATTTATTTAATTAATTAGTATTATATTAAGAAATATCTTTCTTCTTTATAAAACTACTTTCTCGAAGTATATACTTACTTCTTATATCTATAATCTTAATATTAATTATAACGTACGTATAACTCTAGTTAGTTTTCTCTAGTCTTAGTATTTAAACTCGCTTAGAGAGATATTCTATAATTAGCTCTATACTCGTTTCTTACTTCGAAGACTAATTATATCGTAAGCTTATTACGATATACTCACTCTCTAGAGTCTAAGTAGAAAACTCTAAAAACGCTATATTAGCCGTTATTTTATATAGAATTCTTATTAAAATTAATCGAAATAGAAAATAAGTAGTTTCTTTTATATATAACTTTTTACTACGTACTCTAATAATAAAAAATTCTCTATTAAATAACTATTTAAATATCGTAGAATTAGATTTTTTTTTCGATTTTTAATAAAATATCTTAATTAATTATTTTTAGAAGATTTAAATTAGAGTTTTAAAAACTATACTTCTAATCTCCCTCTTATTATTTAACGTATATCGAGAAAATTCTAAAAAAATCTTAAACTATTCGTTATATTTATAAATCTATTTAAGAATATTATTATAGAATTCTTCGAGCCAGATTTTATATATTAATAGTTATTAAATATTTATTTAAAATATATTTATCTAAGCTATTATCTTAGTTAATTTATTAATTTATTTATAATTTTAAATTAATATTTTATAATTTATAGATATAAGTAAAGATATATAAAGTTTTATTAATATTATCTTTTAATTTATTTAATTATTTAATTATAAGTTTAGATCTATAAATTAAATTTATAAAAAGTAATTAATTTTTAAATCTAATTTCGAGATTGAATTCGACTCTCGAAGAGTGTTAATTTAAGATTTACTTAGAATTATAAGATCGAATTTAATAATTCTTAAATTATTAAGAAGTATAAGTTATATTCTATAATTAAAAAAAATAAAAGATTTTAATAGAAAAAAGAGAAGTTATATAATTAATAAGTTTTTAAAAAATTAATTAACTTTAAATTAATTTAATTTTAATTAATAAGAAGTTAATTTTAATATTAGTAATAGTTCTTTTATATTAATTATTATTATTTTTAATTTTAGAATTTTACGAATTTTTATTAATTTTACGATTTTACGATTTTACGATTTTTTTAACGAGAGAGATTTATAAATTCGAACCGAGGACGAAGCGGAATAGTTTCGAATTTTATTAAATTATTATTACTCGACTATCTAAGTTTATATAAAAGAGTATTCTTAATTAAGATAATAAGTTTTTAATAAACGATATCTAAATTCTATATCTTTAAATATTTATAAGATTAAATTTAAAAAAAATTGTTATTTAAAAGCTTATATTTTATTTTATAATTTAAAAAAAAATCTTAAAATTTTAATAGAAAATTAAAAAGTTATTTTAAAATTAAATAATATATATCTAATTAGAGCTATTCGACTATCGAGCGAATTTTGATAAGCGAACTTTAATAAGCGATATTTAAATTTCTTACGCTTTAATAATTATAAGACTAAATTTAGAAATTCTTTTTTTATCTAAAAGCTTATATTTCGTTCTATAATTTAAAAAAAAAATTAAATTTTAATAGAAAATAAAAAAGTCATTTTATATGTTAATAACGTATATCTATTTTTTTAATAGTCGCGAACGAACTTTAATAAGCGATATTTAAATTTCTTACGCTTTAATATTTATAAGACTAAATTTAGAAATTCTTTTTTTATCTAAAAGCTTATATCTTATTCTATAATTTAGTAAAAATCTTAAAAAAATTAATAGAAAATAAAAAGGTTATTCTATATATTAATAATATATATCTATTTTTTTAATAATTACGAATACTAATTTATTAGTATATATAATAGAATAAGATAGAGCTAAGTTTAAAAATTTTAAATTAATATATATAGCTAATTATTAATTATAATAGATCTACGCTTTTTAATTAGATATCGCGAATAAATAAATTAGCGTTCGTAACTATCAAAATCTCGCCCTTCCGCGTCTCTCTTATTAAAAAAATAGATGTATATTATTAACATATAGAATAACTTTTTTATTTTCTATTAAAATTTTAAGATTTCTTTTTTAAATTATAGAACGAAATATAGGCTTTTAGATAAAAAAAAAATTTTTAAATTTAATTTTTAATTTTTTAAAAGGAAAGAAATTAAATTACCCTTAAAAAAATCCCCTCAAAAAAAAAAAACCCCAAAAAAAAAAAAAATATATTTATTTTAATTTAAAAAAAATTTTTTTTTTTTAAAAAAAAATCTTAATTTTTTTTTAATATAGAATCAAAATATAATATAGGCTTTTAGATAAAAAAAAGAATTACTAAATTTAATCTTATAGCTATTTTTAAATAACAAATTTAAAAATCTTCTTTTAAAATTTTTTTTTTAAAATTTATTAAAAATTTTTATTTAAAAAAAAAAAAAAAATTTAAATTTTTAAAATTAAAAAATTTTATTTTTAAAAAAATAAAAAAAAAAAAAAAAAAAAAAAAAAAAAAAAAATTTATATAATAATTAATTTAAATTTAAAAATTTAAATTTATAAAAAAATTATTTTATTTTATAAAATTAAATTAAATTTAAAATTATAAAAAAAAAAAAAAAAAAAAAAAAAAAAAAAAAAAAAAAAAATAAATTTTAAAAATTAAATAAATAAAATAATAATAAAAAAAAAAAAAATATAAAATTTAAAAAAAAAAAAAAAAATTATAAAAAAAAAAAAAATAAAAAAAAAAATAAATAATATTTAAATAAATTAAAATAAATAAATTTTAAGTAGTTAAAAAAAAAAAAAAAAAAAAAAAAAAAATAAAAAAAAAAAAAAAAATATAAAAAATAAAAAAAAAAAAAAAAAAAAAAAAAAAAAAAAAAAAAATAAAAAAAATTAAAAAAATAAATTCGGAAGGGTTTAAATTAAATAATATTATTTTTTTCTACCATAAAGCTGGTATCCGAACCTCTTACTTAGCACAACACAATTTCGCACAACCGAAGGACAAGTTTCGCAATCCTGTAGCGCAGCCGCCAACACGCACAATGCCGCCTAAAAGAGTTCTTATATGTGGTGCAGGAGTAGCAGGTTCGATATTAGCTTTTTGGCTCGCCAAACATGACTTCCAAGTGGTCGTCGTCGAACGATCGAAAGCCGAACAGAAAGCTGGACAAGGACTCGAAATTGAAGAACCAGCATTGAAGGTTGTGAAGTTGATGGGCATCCTGGATAAGCTCAATGAGAAGAAAACTGGTGAGATGGGATTCGATCTCGTCGACCAGCAAGCTCGTTCATATGGCATTTTCGAGGTCGGTGGCATTAGTCCTACAGGTACCCTCGAACTCATGCGAGGTGACCTGACTGAAATTCTCTACAAAACTGCCGACGAATCCGCCAATGTCACCTTCCAATTTGAGACAACAATTCAGAGCCTAAGACAAACACAAGATAAAGTCATCGTCGACCTAGAAAGCAGAAACAACAAAACCATCAAGGTAGAGAATTTCGATTTTGTGGTAGGCGCTGACGGGGTAAAATCCCGCACGAGACAACTCGTTATGGGTTTGCCTGAGAAGCTCAAGTGTTTCAAGTCTGTCGGCGCGTTTGTTGCATACTTCTCGATCCCCAAAGAAGTTCAAGATTGGCCCTACTCCCGACTATGCCATTTCACAAACCGGCGAATTCTATGGATACGGCCAATAGGAAAGGATTCTAAGATGACATCTGTACATCTTATTCACGGTCATGAGGACGTTCCCACCCTACGTCGAGCAAACGCTGCTGGGGACAGACTGAAGCAAAAAGAAGCTTTCGCTGAATTGTACAGTGGCCTAGGCTGGGAGACACCACGGGTCATCGAGCAGATGATGAGAGCCGAGAATTTTTATTCCGACGAGCTTGTGCAGGTCAAACTTCAGAAGTGGTCTCAGCACCGGGTCGTGCTCCTTGGTGATGCAGCTTGGGCTCCGACTCCATTTACTGGCGAAGGAAATCAGCTGGCGATTATAGGTGCTTGGGTACTAGCTCAGGAATTGTCAAGAAATCGAAATCCGGTGGCATTTGAGACGTATGAGAAGAGACTGCGCTCATATGTGGACAATGCTCAGAGCATACCACTTGGCGGCTATGCACCATACATTTTCAACCCGCAGACTACTTGGGGCATTTGGCTGCTTCGGACGATCGTCCGTCTTTTTTCATGGACGATCCGTTTCCTTTCGTGGACGAACTTGGCAGGGATGTTGCCAGATCAGCAGCAAAATGATTTTGATTTGGAGATTGAGGAGGCTGAAGCAAAAGTGGCACGGTGAAGTGTTAGTCTTGCTGCCCTTCGTAAGGGGTTAGCCCGCTTTCGAGGGCTAGGGAGGTTCGAGGCATGGAGCACAGCGAGCTCTTATGCCGAAATCTGCCTACCTCACAGCTGGACAATGATCCTACAGGTGCTTCGCCAATCAGGCCTGACGTTCCGACGCCTTACGAAGGACGACATAGTCCTCTAAGACAATCACTTGAATCTGGCCCAGCTTCTTGGGAAATATCATATACTTTTACATCGCCACTACCTATCTTCTCCAATGCATACCAGCATATGAAAGTATGGCAGCGGCTGAGGACACAGTACGTAGGATGCTGCGAAGACGTGCCCGAGCTATTAAAATAATGTGATGCAAATTCTTGTGCCAGAACTGGACCCGTATACCACCATTGGACATGGGGACTCCTACCAGAAGTGGATTCGTAACAATATTGGACGAGCCGGTATCGGGTCAGCCAGATCCCTCGAAGAGTGCTCCCTCTTTGGTAATATTCCCCTGGGTGTACTCCCCTTGGTGTACTGCCCTTGGAAGAGTAGTCCCTTGCTTCATTTTGGCCACGATCTGATCGAGTGATATTCGCATTCACTCGAAAACTGCCTACACGGTGTTTTCGATGCTAAAAAATATCAAGAAGGTCACAAACCTGTCGTGGTGGATCTTTTCCAGCATATGTAGCTTGCTGTGGCCATCCGACCCTTCGAATGCCTTCACCGAAACAAGGCGGTTCTTGCATGTGGCAACGGTGACGTATATTTCGAGCTTGACTTCGAAGATCTTCCTGTATCGATCCCAGGGCGATCCCGGCTTCATTCTTGACTAATTGTGTACTCGAAGCCCGGGTATACTGTAGGCGCCTGGCTTGGTTGGGGAATCCGGTCTCTTCCGTTTCGATCTTGCGGGCTCCTCTGATGTGCTTCCAGAAGCGACTTTACCAGGCACGCCCCCAGGGCTCGGTAGGGAAGGGGACCCAGCAGCGAGGGTGCGCATGTCGAACTGTGTGACATGTTTACTGTTCATATTGATTGAGTAGGTTGAAGCTGCTTTTTTCGGGCTCCCCTCAGGTAGTGGACTGAAGAGAAGCTTGTGGTAAACGACAGTCACGTAGTTAAGTGGAAGCAAACTGGAAAAAAGGATAGGGAATGAGAAGATGGGAATGAGGAGGGGGCTTATGCAAGGGTGAGCAGGGGGCGCAAAACGGAGGGCAGGCGTCAAAAATGGATGCGCCAAAGATAAGTCTCATATACCCTACGCTCCGAGGAGCTTCTGCCGTGGGGCACTAATCCAACCAGAGGCATCAGACATCTGGCCTGCACACTCCAAAAATGAAAAGAGAATCGCTGGGAAGAGGAGCATACGATACAAAGGCACCGCAAGCATCAGGTTGGTATGCTTGCAATTTGACGAGCGTAAGCTCGACTCAAAGAACATAGAAAGGCTAAAAGATTGTTTTCTCAAGGGTCACTATCGACGGCTAGACCCGTTCAATCATGTACCGGCCGACATCAATCAGCGTGTCCTCAAATTCTCGTTATAATAGATTTAAATAGATTTATAATATTAAGAGATAGATTCGAATATATATACTAAATAAAGCTCTAGATCTAATCGAGATTTTATATTTTCTATATTATATCGAGTATTTATTTCACGTAATATACGTCTTTATAATTAAGCGTTTCGTAAAAAATAAGCTTCGTTTATAAATATAACGTATTATTAAAAATTCTTAATATCGTATTCTTAATTTCGATGTCTATACTATACTCGCTTCTCGAGATTCTTTATACTAATATCTTTTATCTTAATAATCTTATATATCTTAATATCTTTATTCGAGCTCGTAAAGCTCTAATTAGAGTACGTATATATACGGCGATATAAAAGAAACTAAGTTAAATCTATAAGAATTCTAACGATATAGATTTTTTAATAATATTACTATTTTCTATAGTATATCGATAGGAATTTTTAGAGTTCGACTAGGCCTATATTTTCTAGAGTATCGTATACTAAGAAAATTATATAATTATCTTCTACGTAGTTATATATAGCTCGTTTAGAACTTTAAATTCTTATTATAATATATATCTTTAATTAATTAATCGAGATCTTAAGTATTTATCGCTTTGAAAAATTTAATCTTATAATAAATAGTAGCTCTATAATTAATTAATAGAGAATTACGTATAAGAATATATAGTACTTTCATAATATTAAATAGATATTTAAAGAATTAAAATTTTAATTTTAATAAGAAGTCTATAGATAGTCGAATAAATCTCGATATTTAAACTTCTATTATTCTTTAATACGTACGAGCTTTAAAATAAGTAATTGAAAAGCTTACTTTCTTATTACTTAAGACTGAAATTATAAAATATTCGATAATTATAAATTTAAAGTTAATTAATTAGATCTTTAGATTTCGTAATTTTAAAGCTAAAACTCATCTAATTTCTTCGTTTCTAAGTACGCTGCGCAACGGGGCGGGGGACCCCGACGGGGTTCCGAGGGGGGTCGAGGTCGGAGTGGGGTTTCGGGTCGAGGTTTCGAGTTTCCTCAAAACCCCGACCCCGCCCCGACCCGGAGCGAGGTTTCGAGGTATACTCCGTTGACCCGATAGGCCCTAAATACCTCTAAGCGACCCCTCTAAATTTTAATAAAATGTATTAAGAATAAGATAAAATAGAGTATAAAATACGATATTATAGTCTAAATTAGAGTATAAGATATAGATACTTAGAAAGATAGTTAGAAGATATATAAGATTATATTTATAGAGATATTATAGAGATAATAATCTCGAGCTAATTTAATTAATAGACTTAGCGAGGGTAACGAAGTATCCTCGTTACCTCGATAGGAAACTCTATTTCGACTTATCTTATTTTATTAAAAACTTCGACTCGAAGCGAGATAGTATTAGGTATCTAAAACCTCGTTCTACTTCGTCTCGTTACGCTTAGAAATTCTAAGCTAAAAGCGAATATATATAAGTATATTTAGAGGAGAAAGTTAAAAAAGAACTTTAAAATCCTTAAATCTATCTTTTTTAATTTCTTTTCTTTTATTAAAAATATAATAATAAAATAAGTTTTTAAAGTTATAGAGTTAATTATAAGCTTTTAAATAATATAGCGTAGACGAAATTTAATAAAGTATTCGTAAAGATATACTAAAAATAAGTGAATTATCGAGCTTACGAGAAGAGCCTCTTCGATAGAAGTTCTCGAAGAGTTCTCGAAGGATTAGAGAGGTTTTAGAAGGTCTTCTTCTAAATTTATTATTATTATAACGTCTCTCTTAATTCTTAGAGTTAATACTAAGTATAATATTCTCGTAATTAATAAAAGTCTTTATAATCTCGATAAGCGTATTATTCGCGAAATTAGTACGCGGTCGATAGATATTTAATATCTAATCGTCTAACGTAGTTAAGATCTCGAATTATAATATATTAAGAGTTAATATCTTTATTTTATAAAGTTTACTATAATTAAAACGAAAGCTATTCTTCTATTATTATATTATATATATCTTATTAATAATAATAAAATTAAATCGCGAGATAAATCTCATATTCTTTATAATAACTATACGAAAGTTCTTATTATTTATAAAGATCTCGAGATTAATAAAAATATATATATAGATATCGCTAATAATATTATATAGTTTTTTATTTTTATTAATTTAAGTATTTAGAATAAAGGCGCTAATATTAGATAATATATTAATTTTTAATTACTAATCTAATTTTAATATATTAAATAAATATATAAGAATCGCTATACTACCCGATTTTAATAGAGATAGAAAATAAAAAATAAAACTCTTTTTAAAGCCCGTTTTCGCTATTAGAATAGCGTCTTTACCGTTAAATAAATAGCGAATCATATATATCTATTCCTTTTTAAGTCTATTTTTAATCTTATTAAGATCTATCTATTATTATTAACTCTATAAAGCAATTAGAGTATAATATTACTCGTTCTCTATATCGATTATATATTTCGAGATATAGGCTATAACGTAATTAATTTCTACTATTATATTAAAGATAAAATAATAAATATTAGAATTTAAAGTAGTATAAGAGAGAGTATTAATATTACTAGCGATATATAAATCGTTATTAAAATTATCGTAATTATTTAACTCTTTTACGCTTATATAATACTTAAAATTTTATCTATTTATAAGCGAAGAAGGGCCTATATCGTTATTTATAATTTAAGATTATATAAATATTAAAATATTCTTCTCTCTACTTTTATATCTAAGTATTAAATATATAACTTTTTTTCTTTTCTCTAGAACTAGTTCGCTAAATATCTTAAAACTTTATATTTATTAAAAGAAAGAATATTTTTATAAGCTATAAAGAGATTAATATATATAATTTAAAAATATCTCGCTATCGTTATCGAAGAGAAAATCGTATATCTAGACGCTCCTTATAATCTTCTTATTTACTTTAATCTATTTTAAATACGTTAAGCGCGTTAAAACTATTTAAGATATATATTTTATACTTTCTTTAATTTCTAAGTAATATATCTTTAAGTTAATAAATCTATATATAAAGAAAATAACTTTAATACTCGATTTTTATTAGATAATAATACGATTAAACTTATAATCTAATTATTATACTCGACTTATTATATAATCTTTTAATAATATTAAATACGATATACTATTCTCTAGAATTTAATTATTAAAAGATAATCGATTAAAGATAAGTACTATAATCGTTAGCGAAGAATATATATTCGAATAAACTTATATAATAATAACGAGCTATTTAATTATAATCGAAAGTTTATATACTTATTTAATAATCTCGAAAGGTCTATTAATCTCTTAATTAATATTAAAAGATAATATAATAATAGCTGAAAAAATGAAGAAAGTTATAATTTTCCAATAACGAAGTAATTATTACGATAGGTCTATATAAATTAATAATCTATATAGCGATTCGAGAGTTT